CAATCCCAGCAAATCCAGGAGTGGCGCCAGTCCTTTGGACACGAGTGCCCTGAGATGAGAACCTCCTAGACTGTGCACTGCACCCCCAGAGGCAACACAAGATGCTGAGCAGCTGTGGTAGAGAAATGTGGGCAGCAGAAGCAGGAGGCCAGAGGGAGACAGGGTCAGGGCTTCCTGGCATGGGGGTGGGGGGCTGCAGTGGGTGTGCCAACCAAGAGAGCTGAGTGTCTTCGGGCCAGGACTTGCTGGTGGAGTGGCGTGGCTCTGGGTACTTATCGGTGAAACCAAAGAGCTTTGTAACACTTCCCCAAGCAGGGCAGGGTCTGAGGGACTGAGGACTGAGATGGGCTGTCGATGAGCATGCTCAAGAAGCTGTCTTGGTCGCTCAACTGTATCCTGCTTTTTTCCTGACCCTGAATCACAGTATGGTCGGTGTGGCCATCGCAACCGTTTTATCAAACCCAGCAGAGAAGCAGAGAGTGCTGGGGGAGGGACCAGGATTCGTCCAAAGTATCGCCCCTACCTCCACCTCAGGGTTCCTTCCGTTTGGCCCAATGCTGCTGGCAGAGTCCCCTCCCCCCCCTGTGAGTTAGATGAGGTTTGATGTTGGGGATCCACCATTTCCATGGGCTCCTTGTCCCGCGGAGGTGGCTCTTTTGCCGTCTTAACTCGTAGTTGAGGCCGTAACGAGAGTAGTCACGGGTGCAGGCTTTGGGAGTCAGATAAAGCTTTGCTTGCTTCTTAGCCTTATATGCTGCATGATCTTGAGCAAATGAGTAATTTATCAGTCTTACTTTCCTCCTCTGGGGATAATGACGTTTAGCGATCTTGAAGGGTTTTCATCATCACCACCATCACTCTCACCAGCGGCATTACCACTCTCACTGTAACTCTCACCATCACCAGCATCACCGCCATCACTGTAACCATCACCAACACTCCTGTTGATTCGGAAAGTAATGTCACATCCTTCTTGAGTTGGGCAACGGGTGAAGGGAGGGTGGGCACTGGACTTGAACCCACATCTTCATGCCTCAAAGGTCAACCATCAACTTCAGGGACAGAGCTGCTGCCGTTTTCAGAGCTTGGTGTCTCAGGTCAAGTCACTCAGTCCCGATTGGTTGACACTGTTTCAACCCCGACTCCAGAAGTGCTGGGAGCCATCTTGGGGTCAGATGTATATACCTTGCAGCGGGGGTGGGGGTGGGGGTGAAACCAGCAGGACACGTGGTCATGGGGACAGTGAGGTTTCAAAGGGAGGGGGCCTAACCCTAATTGACGTCTGCTGGTAACTGTTAGCCCACCAAGTGGGTATTCCAAAGAAATGTAGTCACAGAAAATAGAAACATGCGACACAAGAGAAAACACTCTACACAAGGCTGTAGGTCACCTGACAAGAGTGTGTGTTGGAGCAGCGATGCCCTCAAAGACAGCGGAGTGGAGCAGGGCAGCCCTGCCGTCCAAGCCCCTGTGGGTGGCCACAGGTTTGCCCCAAGGCCTTCATCGGCAACACAGGCTCGGCCTTAGCACCACTCCGGGGAGTCAGGCCTACTTGTGAATGCGGGCTCCTGTGCTGGGTTCTTGGAGGCGCACCCAGCAGCCGTCTGGGATGCAGCAAGAAGCCCTGTCCTCAGGCTGTGGTGACCACCCACATGGGTCTGGACTTGCTTCTGGCCCAGCCTATGTGTGCCAACCCCTTTGGTGTCACATTTGGAGTCAACACCTGGACTTCCAATTGTTCCCTCTGGCAACACCATTGTGAAGGGCAACTTGTGACTTCTGTCCTCAGACAGGTCAATTCCCCAAACATGCTCAGTTCAGGGGCCACACAAGACCGGCTGCACCCCAGCTTGATAATGTGAGGTCCCTTTCTCTCTTTTTGACACTAGGGGATGTCAGTGGTTTTCCTGGCCCAGGTGCCCTGTGGCCTCCCTGGGGCCCTAGCGGGGTGGCCCCGCCCAGACACAGAGCTGGCCTTCTGTTCAGTCTGGTCCAGCTCTCGGCAGGTACTTCCCCACACTCTAAAGAGGGAGGTTCACGGGACCTGGCTTACTTGCCCCGGGGGTGGGAGGAGCAGCAGGATGATGTTAGGGGTTGAGGTGGGGATGCAGGCAGGAGACTGCTGGCTCCCAAGCCCCCTAGGGCCAGTGATTTGGCCCACTGTCCCCACTGCCTTAGGCTGAAGCTGGCTGGTCAGAAGGGACAAGGGAGGAGGGATGGACACCCCCGCCCCCTAGGTCCCTTAGCACTGGCACTCAGTCATGGGTGTGTGGGTGGCTGGGCCCTGAGCCTGACCTGAGGGTGCTGGGTGGGGTTCAATCGCCATCGCGGGGGTGGGGGTGGGGGTAAGGGGGCGGGGAGGAGACCCCCCAGCCCCTCTGTCCTGGTTCTCCAGTGGGAAGAGGCCTTTACTCCCAGGACCAGGAGTGTAGCTTGTGCTCTTGAGGCAAACAAACAAAAAGAGAAAATTAAAATCATACCCAAGGGACACCAAACTTAGCTGCATAATTGAAATGTAATGGCCCAATACCCCTCATGACCCAAGCTCGTTTTCCGCTCAGAAGCCTGGTCTCGGGGGTGGGGGCAGTAAGTAAGTTACTGCACATTTCCCGACGTGCCAGGCCAGGCCCTCTTCCAACTTCGGAGTCCTCTTTCAAGACGGGAGACCGAGCAGAATCTTGGGAGGAACCTCGAAGTAGCGCATGAGAACTGGGGCCTCTTCCAAAGCTTCCAAGACTCAGGTGGGGGCCTGGAGCTGCTGGCTGCTTGCTCCCCACTAGCATGTCGCCAGGGAATGGTGTCAGGCTTGACCCTCTGCTGGGCTGGCCGGGACTGGCCTCTCACAGCACGAGCAGTGGCTGAAGAAGAACTCTGGACTGGGAGTGGTTCTAAGTTCCCATCTTGTCGTCGTGCAATTCCATGTTCTAGGATTCTGGAGAGTTCTGCAGATGGCAGTGCTTGTGTAGTCCGACCCACACCTGCGGCACGGACTTTCCTCCTGCCACCCTGGGCTTCCTGGCCACCCATGCCTGGAGGACCTTCTGGCTCTCACTGCAGGGGTCGTGCTGGGGGGCACAGGGGTGGCAAGGGCTGTGTGCCAGGCCTCCTGCCCCTCAGGGACTCCCAGAGGCATCTCCCCAATGACTGAGGGAGCCCAGGACGGTTCCCTGGCTGTGGCCAGACACTGCTGAGCTCATGGGGAGGGCAGGAGGCACCGGATGGCGTGATGGGGACACAGGAGGGCAGTCCATGCCAGTCACAGGCCTCAAGCTTCAAGGGACAATGCTGCAGCCCGCTCCCCCAAGGTCCCCCAGTCTTCAGGGTGGGGGTTAGTTGCCATACAGCTCCCCCACTGTCCCTGGTACTCCTGCGCCAGGCTGGGTTCACTTCTGGTCCCCCAGGAGGGTGAGGTCAGCACCTCAGGCTGGGCACTGCCATTTCTTGGTGACGCGCTCCCTCTGCTGCACAAAGTGCGAATTGCACCTGCTCTACGGCGGCTTGAGCTGGGCTTGTCATTTACCTGGCCATGAAGGGCCACCCAGGGGTCCCAGGCCAGCGTCTGCAGGAGGAATGGGGCTGGGGTCAGACGGGGCTGGCCAGGCACTGCCGAGCGAGCAGGGAGCACCAGGGCTTGTCCGTGCAGGATCCCGACCCCTGCACCAGTGCAGGGGTCACATGTCAGGGCAGGTCAGGGGTCACATGTCAGGGCAGGGGACCAGCAGCATGCCCCTGTGGACAGTCACACAGGGGTCCACAGCCCCTTTGTGTCTCCTTTCCTGCCCACCCACAGGTACAGTGGGAGCAGTTTGAGGTGAGAGGCCTCTGGGCCTGTGCCCGAGGGAGGGGTCACGGATTGGGGCAAGAAGTTGTCCTCAGTGGGCACTGCTCTCTGTCCCTTGGGCGGGGGAACCCCTTCCTGCGTGGGGCCAGATGGTGACCCTGGTCCCAGGACTGTGTCTGGCCCCAGTGGCCACCCCCACATTCAGAACACTGTCAGCCTTTCAAGTCTGGGTGGAGGAGAGAGGACAAGGGAGGAGGGCAGGCCAAGGAGGTGCAGGAGTGGAGGCAGGGACCCTGCAGGACCCTAAGGAGAGTCGAGGGTAAGGGGTGCTGTGTGCTTGCTCTGGCTCTGAAGCACTCTTCAGGCCAAGAGGCTCACGTCCCAGAGACAGCAGAGGGGGCAGCATTGCTCCCAGAAGGTGAGGGGTCTCGGCAGTGGAGAAGCTGTATGTGGGAGGGCCAGCCAGGTGGTTTCTCAGGGGAGAAGAGCAAGAGCAGGCAGGAACCCGGAACTCCCAACCTGGACAACAGGGCTGAGATGGGAGCTGTGTCTCCCGTGAGGGTGGGACGAGGCTGGCACAGGGACTCCCGGCCCCCTGGTGAGCCCTGGGAGATGGTGACACCAGGCCCAGGGGCATCCCAGCGGCTTTCTGCTGGGCGGGCCCTGGAGACAGGACTGGACAGAGCAGTGGTGTCCCCGAAGTGAGGGACAGCAGCGCACAGCAGCCTGGGGAGCTCAGCAGAAGGCAACACTGGGCTGTTTGGGGCTGGTGTAACCCACCGACAGCCCTTACGCCCACTGCTAGGGCATCATCCTGCCCTGGGGTAGAAGGTACTGCGCAAGGAGAGCCCCAAGCACGGAGAGCACTGCCAACAGTGGGCAGTACTGCAGTGACCCTCTCAGCCCAGGGCACTCATGGGGTTCTTCCTGCAGACTAGACCCTGCATGTTGCAGACATGGGGGACCGGCACCCGTGTCCCCGTAGACACAGGAGCGTGAGGGATAGGCTCCTGTGTCTATGCACACACAGGAGTGTGAGGGACAGACTGCCCAGTATCCATGTCCACCCAGAAGTGTGGGGGAAAGGCACCCCAGTGTCCCTATACACACAGGAAGGGGGGGGCAGACTCCCCAGTGTCTATGCACATACAGGAGCGTGTGCAGGACACAGCCTCTGTCTTATCAGGCTGGCTGGAAGCAGTGGACACAGACGCTCACACACCAGTCTAGATTTTATTTGAGTCCTGATGGCCCTCTAATGATGATAACCAAGACAGCACGGGGATGTTAACCAACTGCAGGAAACACACTGTGAACACCGCAGCAGATAAGCCTTTTACAGTAACAGAGACACCGTTAGGGCGAGTTTCAACAGGAACTCACGCTGGCTCTTCATGTCAACAGAAATGATAAAAATACACAAGTGCAGCGGAGGCGGAGTGCTGGCCCGTGAGGTGGCCGACGTCCGTCCTGAGAGACGGTGGTCGGTGCGTGGAGGGTGCTGGAAGCAGTCCCCTGGGCGGAGTGGCCTTCATGAGGTGAGCTTGGAGTAGCTGGGAGGAGACAGCTTCCGCTTCAGGTACTTGAGGATGTAGAGGGGCAGGCAGCTGACCACGGTGATGGCTGACACCTTCCACAGGAAGGTCACGGTTGTGATGAAGGCCACATCTGCAGGGACAAACAGCCCCGAGTCAGCACATAGCACGGCCCCACCCTGCTCACCAAGGGGTGACTGAGTTGCCAGGTCTCACCTAACAACGCATACCCCACCTACCAGTACCGGGTGAAGCCTGGGGCTGTCCCCTGCCAACACTCGGTGTGGTGGGTCACACCAGCTGCACCACCTCGCTGTGCGCGCACAATCCGAGGGGCACGGAGCAAGGCATGGGGGCTGTGAGCACAGCCTTGTCCTGGGGCGGGGCTGTGTGTGGAGGAGCCCTGTGGGGCCAGGTCTCTATGACGGGAAATGCCCTGGACCCAAGGGCCCGACCATCTCAGGCTTACAGAGCCCTGCCGCCGCCAGGGGCAGCTCAGAGAACAGTTGGGGTGGCGGTGGGGGGGCTTCCTGGGCTCGGAGTTATGGCTCAGACAACAAGAGGGTTGTCCAGGGTTTGGGAATGGAGGGCACAGAGTGCAGTGGGGGGGCATCCTGGGGTGCAGCCTTCCATGAAAACCCTGGCCAGGTCCCCCAAGTCCTCAGACACTGAAGTTCTCTGAGCCTCACACAGGGCTGCAGCCCAGGAAGCCAAATGCAGAAAGCAGGGCACACAATGCAGGGGTGAGTGAGCGAGAGACACAGAGTGCCTTACCATGGCTTTTGCTATGTTTCTATGCTCTTAAAGAAGTAACACCACCTACCTAAGAAAGCTCCCAACGACACTCTGCCTATGCCTGCATCAATAAGACAGGGCGAAGAGAAAAGGAAGGTTAGAGCAGCAAGCAGGGAGCTGCTGTCTGGGCCGCTGCCAGCAGGGAGAGGACATGGGGGGCATCTGTAATGGTGTTGCTGCTGCCTGGAGTGTGACGGCTTGCATCTGCGTTCCCCTGGGCTGGCCCTCAGGCTGAAAGCAGTCAGCATCCACATGCCATGATGACCAGGTGGTGTGGCCACAGGCTCTGATGCCACACAGGGGCCTAAAACATCACACGCTGCGTGAAGGTGGCCATCAGAGAGCAGGTGCTGCATGGTGTCACTGAGCCATGCAAGGCGTGCACACAGAGACCCAAGCACACAGGTGAACACAGACAAGGGCAGCGAGCACTGTTGCCCACCATGAAGAAGCTGTCACTGAGTGTCCCCGAGTTCCTGTGGGGCCAGGGGACGACTTCAGTCATCAAAACAAAAGAGCAACAGCAGAGACTTGATTCAGCCTCCAAGTGGGCCTGTGCTTCAGGGCGTGTGCCCAGGCCTGCTGTGGTGGGAGGGCTGCCTCATCAGGGCTAGGATGGAGATGTCCACACGGGGGGTGGAGACTCACCGAAGTACTCATTGAGGAAGGCGAGCGAGGCCAGGTAGCAGCCAAGGCTGAGGAACTCAGCTACCACCATGAGCCAGTGCCACGTGCGGATGGTCAGCGCCACCATGAGCAGCTCCGTCAGGATCAGCGCCGTGAAGGAGATGGCCACCACGTGCACGAACTCTGACTCGAAGAGGGCCAGCGCCCCGAGCATCAGGGTGCCGCCTGCAGAGAGCCGGGCAGCGCCCCGAGCATCAGGGTGCCGCCTGCAGAGAGCCGGGCAGCGCCCCGAGCATCAGGGTGCCGCCTGCAGAGAGCCGGGCAGCGCCCCGAGCATCAGGGTGCCGCCTGCAGAGAGCCGGGCAGCGCCCCGAGCATCAGGGTGCCGCCTGCAGAGAGCCGGGCAGCGCCCCGAGCATCAGGGTGCGGAGAGGCAGGTGGGCACAGACTGACTGGGCACCATGGGGCCGGCACCCACTTCCAAGCCTGGCTCTGCAGCAGGTGGGACGGGGGAGGCTGGGTGGGAACCAACAAGGACAGGGTGTCGGAGGGAGCCTGGAGCACAGCTTTGTACCCTGTGAACACCCGCAGGCCCTGAGGAGTCCCAGCATTATCTCATCCCAGCCTCACAGGCACGCTGGGAGCGTGTGTCTGCACCACCAGGGGCTCCTGGTGGCAGCTGCGTGTCTTTCGGTCCGTGTCCACGGAGCCCCATTGAGCACTCAGGCCCAGCTCACTGGCTGGTCCACATTGTCCAATTTAACACATGATGTGGTCTAGACCCCCTACGGGAAAGCCAGCTGTGGGACGTTACCGGGGAGATGGAGGGCGCTCACCTTGATAGACGCTGATCAGAACCCAGACGAGGAAGGTCTTGAAGGACAGGGACCTGCCCTAGGAGGGGCAGAGCTCAGTGAGCAGCAGGCTCAGCTATTGCGAGTGAGAGGTCTGTGTAGCCCCCAGGACACCCAGGTCTCCAGCCCCCATGTGATTCCTCACTCTTCCCTCCCTGCTGAACTCCCTGCCATCCAGTGGACTCCAATTCCCACTGGACCTCTGCTCCCAATCCAACAGGAAGCTGCCCAGGTCAGCTGGCTCTGTCAAGGGGTGGGCTCAGAAGCAGCCGGACCCAAGAGTGAGGCGTGGCCGTGGCAGATACTCACAAAGCGGACCCCTGCTGCTTTCTGTCCCAGGCCCCCCAGTAGGACCCTTGCACAGGCCTTGGGGAGGGGCGCACCTTGGTGAGGTCCTTGTAGAGCTCGGGGTACAGCAGGGCTGTCTCCGCCTTCACGTCCTGGTCCAGCACCAGCGAGAACACGGGGAACATGGTGTAGATCGTCGCGTACCTCAAAACCCAGAGCACGGCCACACTGATGGGGGCTTCAGGGGGCGCCACGAGAAGGCAGCTATGCAGCCTCCTCTCCCGCCTCCCACCATCCCCTGGAAACCAGGGGCAGCTATGCAAACCAGGCTCAGCTGCGCCATGTAACTGCTAGGCTCAGGCCCAGACAGCCCAGGACTGCCACCATGAGCACGGCGTCCTTCTGATGTCCCCATGGGCAGACGCCCCTTTATGTCCCAAACCCACCACCCACCAGACATGGCCCATCGTGAACTCAACCTCCGAGACAGTCACGGGTGCAAGATCATGTGACCGACCAGGTGTCCCCGCCTGGGGCTCGGGGACAAATCAGAGCCACAAAGGGGCCCCCAGAGAGCCCGATTCAATGCCCCCATGCCCCCGCCAGCACTAGCCCGCCGTCACCCCGGGGGGCATGGCTCAGCTGAGCAGGGCAGCTGACTTACCCCACCATCAGGAAGCCCTGGTACAGAGGCACAGACGCAAAGTAGAAGACGGACGAGAACACGGCCTGTGAGAGCCCGCAGTGAGCACGCCAGCAGGACGCGTGCAGACCCGGCCGTGGCCGCGCCACCGCCCACCCCGAACACCAGCTCACAGCTGCCCGCTACTGTGACCACCCACCATTCCCTCCTCCTGGGCCCGCATGCCCCAGGGCCCTGCGCTCCCAGCCCCGTGGGCACCTGCATGGTGGAGATGACGAGGCCCCTGTGCATGACGAACTGGCCCAGCGCAGCCGAGCGCTTATAGCTGTTGCGCCCGTGCACCATGAGCAGCCGGCCGATGTGTTTGAACTGTGAGATGGAGAAGTCGGCGGCCAGGGACGCCTGCTTCCCCTCCTGGGGGCAGAAGGGCCAGTCAACCTCCACCCAGACCCATGCACCACAGGGCAGACAGGCCCCCACACCCAGGGCTGTTTCCAAGTCCCCCACTGGGCATGGCATGTGGGGCACACACGGACCTCCCAGGACACGTGTGCACTGACTGGTCTCCCATGTACCCACCCGGGACACGTGTGCTGGCCTGTTTCACGTCCCCACCCGGGACACACGTGTTGGCCTGTTTCATGTCCCCTCTGGGACACACGTGTCCCATGTGCAGCTTCTCTCCCAGAACACACATGTGCTGTTTCTCATGGGCAGGCCCGGGGCACACATGCTGACATGTGACATGTTTGTGGGAGAAAGAAAAGGCCGGCAGGGCACATGGGCGAGTCAGTAGGCCCAGTGCCTGAGTGACTGCCGATGGAGGACAGCGACATGAGCCGGCTGCACTGTGCGGTCATGAGCAGGCGCCACTGGGCGTGGCAGGAACACTGACCTTCCCCTCAATGCCGATCCCGCAGTCCGCGGCCTGAATCATGCTGACGTCATTGCCCCCGTCACCTGAGGGCAACAGAGATATGAGAAGTTACACTGGACAAGGGGGTCATTGGCATTGGCTAGTGTCATTACCCAGACATCAGCAAGAAGACCCACGGGAATCAGGTAGAACTGGGCACCCTGCCCACAGCCACCCGCCCCAGGCCCAGGCCCCCCTGGTGCACCTGCCCAGGGTCCCCAGTGTAAGTTTACCTACAGCGCAGGTGCGCTTGCCCGTGTGCTGCTGCAAGAGCCTGACGATGTGGGCCTTCTGGGTGGGTGAGCAGCGGCAGCACACCACTGCCGGGCCCTGGCAGGCCAGTTCCACGAACTCGTGCTCGTAGAACTTGAGGCAGACCTAGGACACAGAACCTGCTGTCCCTCCTGGCCAAGCAAAGGGCCGTGGCTCCCGCTCTCAGGGGGACACGTGCAGACCAGGCAGTGGGGTGGGTACCCTGAGGATGAGGCGCAGGGCGGCAAGTATGGGCTCTGAAAGGTCGATGGGGCCAAGGCTGGGCCTGGGACCCATTAGCAGAGGTCCCAGAGGGCGGGGCAGATGCTGTGGGTCTTCCCAAGCCACTGCAGATTCCACCCTGGTGAAGGGTCCCTGAGCTGCCTACACTCGTCAGAGGTCTCAGCTCCCGATAGGCAATGGGAACAGTGAGTGTGTGCACACAGGAACCCACAGGCATTCATGCCCACATATATACATGTACACATGGCCACACATACACATGCACACACGGCCACACATATATGTGCACACAGGAACCCACAGGCACTCATGCCCACATCTACACGTGTACAGACAGGCACACATATACGTGCACACATGAACCCACAGTCTCTCACACCCCTATACTATACACATGTGCAGAGGAACATAGGAACACAGGCACACAGGTTCACGTGCATATGCGTACAAAGGTATTCACAACCACATATACACGTGCACAGAGGAGCAAACACATGCACAGTGCATACACATATGTGCATCAGTGGACACACAAATGCATATATGAACATATACCCGACTGAGATGCATACATGAGCACACATATGCACAACAAAGGAAAGGAAGGAGGTGGCCCCCACAAACTATGGAAGGCTGAGAAGAAGAAAAAGCCTGAAATACCCAACATAGAGCCCTGCGGGGCTGGGCGCAGCCTCGCCCTGTCACCTGGGAAGGTGAGCTGGAGGGAGGCAGGGAGACAGCAAACCCTCCAGCTCACAGCAGTGAGGGGTCTTTGAGGGTTCAGTCCTGCCGGGTGTGCGTGAATGTCTGAGCGCGCACACACACACACAC